TTAATTGATAACAACCCACTAGAGTAGGTCGTCTTGTTATTATTCTTGTTCTTATTCTTATTCTTATTCCAGTTCCTATTCTTGTTTTTATTCCTATTCCAGTTTCTATTCTTGTTTTTATTCCTATTCTATTTCCTATTCTTCTTCTTCTGCTATATCCGATAGCAAGACCTCTAATCGGGAGATTGGAGGTTTTGATGATCGTGGAACCACCTTATAATTGCTGTTCTTCCCGGGTACACGCGGACCCGGGTGGTAGTACCTGTTAGGGTCCCAGCAATAGGCAATTATTGACTCCTCCTCCTATGAAAGTATAAAAATATATTTTTATAGTAAAAGTACGATCAATATATTTTTATATAAAAAAAAATGATCAACAATACTTATTTTTCTCTATTTCCAAGATGAAGTATTGTAATTATTTACACTATTTACATTGTTCGGTTTGTCTTCATCTTCGTTGCTGTATTTACGACGTTTCGGCCGTTGTATGCTTCGGTCTTCTTCAGGTGATTGGAATTTTGATCGGAACCCTTTATTTCGTCCACCGGGGTAGATTGTTCTTGTTCCATGTGCCACCCCGCTTCCTTAAGGACACATGGCCCAGTGGATAAAAGCGTTGGTTGAATTCAGTGACTTGACACAAAGAGTTGAGTTCAATACCTAGCTACAGCTAAGATGAACAAAAAATTGGAGAGTTCAGCTAAAGGGAGATAACTGATACTGATACACCCGGAAGAGGATATCAAATAAAATCCCCAGTGTTTTCTATTTTCTTTTTTTTTCGTCAGTAATTTTCAAAATGTCTCTGATTTTTTATACTACAACTATTACTATATATGAATAATTTATTGATTTTTAATTTGATACATAGCTTAATTGGATCAATCGCCTGGTTTCTGCCACGTCTGAGGTTTCTTTCAAGATATCAGGCTTGACGAATTTTCTGTTTGATTTTTGAGGTGAAAATATTGACCCAAATTTATTAAAGTATTGTCTCTTTATTTTGTTTAGTACTACTTAATGAGTAATTTATATATTTTTCTTTCAGATTATAAGAATATTATTCAGAATATAGTTCGGAATTTTCCCCTATGGTCGTCCCAACTAAAGAACACGTCATAAATGTTGTACTTTGAGTTTCATAAAAGCTGTCAACGCAAGTGCAACAGCAAAATCTCTCTAGAACGCTTATGAGGTCCGATGTATTGAGTTTCAAAACTTAGAATTTTAGTCTAGAGGACGAGCCAAGTGTCGTTCAAAAGGATTCTATTTAGATGTCTTGGAAGCTTCTGTTTCACCAAATCCTGCCACTGCGGCTGAAAAATTTAATGTTAGGCATACGACAATTCTATGCGAATTGGAAAGGATTTCTGTGGTTGGAAAATGGGACCCACACGACCTGTTTTCAGATAATTGCTAACAATGTGTCGACTATTGCTATTCATTGTTTATGCGACAACTTCAAGTGCCCTTTCCGGGCATAAATGTAAATGGGCCTATTACAATAATGATAGGGGCTGTCGTTAGTGGATCAGTCGAGGAAACAGATAGGCTCAGCGCCCGAGAAGAGAACTTGATCCAAAGATGACCATGTTGAGTATATGGTGGGATACTGAACGAATCATTCATTGTGAACTGTTAGAAAATAACCAATCAATCAGCGCTGGTTTCTACTGCCAACAACTTCGTCGTTTTAAATGCAGCCTTCGACAAAAAAAATTTATTCTTAGTCAACAGAAAAGCAGTAATCCTTCATCAAAATAATACCTGTCGTCACATTGCACGATTGACTAAAAATCTCTTAGAGGAGCCTGATTGGGAAAAAACCGCTTCATCCTGTATCTTCTCCCCATATTGCTCCTTCTGTTTAACAGTTATTTAGTGGTTTGTAGAAGCATTTGGATGACCTAAGGGTGACGTCAAGAGAAGCAGTTGAACACGAGTTGGTTTCGTATTTTATATTACAACCTAAAGAATTTTACAAACGCGGTATCTATAAACTTGTTGACAGAATGAGGTTCTAGGAAGCAATGGAGGTTATATTGATAATTAAATATTTCTATAAGGCTTTTTTTGCAATATACACATAATTCATTTGTAATATACACAATAAAATCGAACAGAACTTTCGTTCGAATGCAATAGAAAGTAGGTAAATTTGGTTAATCGAAATTCTGTCCACGAATTCGGTGCGAACTTAAGTGTATGATGTTTCTGTGTTTTCACTTTGTTTTTCGGCTTCTTGGAATAACATTCCTTATTTTTCATTTAACCGGAAAGATATCTTATTTTGCTGAATCATCAGCCCAACATTGATTCTTCACTCTTTTGGGTAACTATGTGACACTGCTTATGTTTGTTCGCCCTGATTAAACACTGTTAAGAGATTCAGAATTTCGACTGTGGGTGTTTGTGAGGGGGGAATGATAGGGAGCCCCAGGGAAGGGTCGGGACCTCAGCTGAAGTGAAAAACCAATATAGTTTATTTTCATTCATCAAATTACAGAGATGGTTTGTGTTTTTGTTCTTTTCTTTGTATTGAGTGCGACTGATTGCTTTGTTTTTCTAAAGATCCCCGAATTACCGAAGCAGATTTAAATAAAAGTCGCAAAAAAAAAAAAAAAAATATCAAGTTTCTCTCTTTCTCCTTCCATTTTTTTCTCTTTCCATCTCTTTTTCTCTTTCTCTTTCCATCTCTTTTTCTCTGTCTCTTTTTCTTTCCATCTCTTTTTCTCTCTCTTTCCATCTCTTTTTCTCTCTCTCTTTTTCTCTTTCCATCTCTTTTTCTCTGTCTCTTTCTCTTTCCATCTCTTCTCTTTCTCTTTTTCTCTCTTTCTCTTTTTCTCTCTCTTTCTCTCTATTTCTCTTTCCATCTCTTTTTCTCTCTTTCTCTTTTTTATCTCTCCCTCTCTCTTTTCATCTCTGTCTTTCTCTTTCCATCTCTCGCCTTTTCTATTTATCTCTCTCCTCCCCCCTATCTCTATGTCACTCTCTCGTTTAAGAAAAACACATGTTAAATAAGTCGGAAACTAATGGATTTCAAACCCATCTGGAAACCTTAGCCACTGCCTCTGTTTGCAATTCCTGATAACGTCTCCATACACCAAGCTCACCTTTCAATAACTTAGATCTTTAATTGTAAAATGCGGAACTTTAAGAAAGGCTGACCAAAACAGTTAAAATCCTTCAAGAATCTTGTAAGGATCGAGCTCACAGGCAAATTGATTTTTTGTATCAACAATAGCGGCGCTGACAGTTTGTGACGAACGAAATTTTTTGTGTTCGATGGCGATAATTATTTATGAAATAGGTTCTAGTGGATATATTATTATGGCCACGTGACTTCTTTTTTTCCGAACAGGAGATCGTATTCTGTGGTATACGACACGTAGTTCGTTGGGGACTAAAAAGTCCCCTGGACGAGGAAAGAGACACGTCTTGTACATAACGGTATCCTGTGGTTAAAAAGCGGAAGAAGGGTTTATATCGTTTCCTGTTATACTGCTTTATACAACATTACCTAGAGGATAATGGGGGAGATGCTCTGGCAGAAAAGGTGGCGTAGTACCTGGCGGACTTAAGCAAGTGGATGACGGAACGTGGTTTGAGGGATATGGTAGAGGGACGAAACTTATTGAGAGCTACAAGGGATAGGGAGAAGTGGAGAGCCATGAATGCCTACTCCCTGAAAGGACACGGCACATAAAAAGAAGTACTCTAGTTTCGAGTCAATTTTTCTAACTATCCATAGGGTTACGAAAATTGCCATCGCCAAAACGAACTTGATATTTGATTGAAAAAGACTACATAAAAAATATCATTTGATCACCTGTATAAATATGAGGAGGCTTACTCAGCAGTTTTGAATCTTGAGAATCGGTTACGCAGTCTTGATGTAATTTAGCAACCGAAGAGGAATTTACTGCACCTCCATAACACTCATCTGAGGATTTACTCACTCGTCAGTGTGATGCCATTGAGTAAGTTTGTATATATATTGTGACTGTCGCATTCATATTTTAGATTTTCCAAGCCTTGTGCAAGATTTACGACAAAACATCGTATTCTCTATAGTCCCTTTTCAAATTCTAAAATCTCTCTTGAATTAGCTTGAATGTGATTAAGAGGAACGCGAAGAAATAGCTGATGAAAATCTCTGAAGAAAACTTTTGAAATGTGGATGAGATGCTAGGATATACTTATAAGATCCAAAGGAAGTATTTTGAAGAGGACTAAGGCGCCATTGGGCTAAGTAGGTTATTTTTCTCTACTAGGAAATGGAAAGCGATCGACTGTATTTCTGATTATACGAATTCAGATTAAATCCTGTCAGTATCAGTCCCTATGGTGTCTAGCCGTAGAATAGTGGGAGCCACTCACGGTAGAAGGTTACAGAGTAAGAGGCACTTTTTATGTGGATATGTAGGGAAGATAACGTTTAAGCCTAGACTTGAACAGATTGTAGTGATCGGGGAAACATCTTCTTGGGAGCTGGTTTCACAGAACAGTGGTTCGAGGGAAGACGGTCTTTCGAGTGGAAAGTACTTCTTACCGATGGCAAATGGAGGAAATGTGGGTGGTTTGTTACAATGTCCTCTGGAAATATACCATTTTTAACAAGCAACATAACATTTTAACTACTACTTGTGTTGATTACTTTTTTTTGTAAGAATTAGTACTCAAGTTGCTTCAATTATTATACTTGAGCTTAATAAAGCGAAAAGAAAGATATTTCAATATAAACTAATAAAACAGCCCAAAATGCAAACACGAAATTTAAACAAGTAAAATTATTTAAATATCTAGATATTTTAACAAAGGACAGAAACTGCAGCTCCGAAATCTGAGATAGCGAAAGATGCCTTCCAAAAGCTAAGCAAAGTATTAAGAAGCATGGAAATTTCGCTAGAAACAAAGAAAAGAGTCCTGAATTGTTTTGCAATATCGATCATCCTATATGACAGTTAACACTGGACAATATCCTCACAGAAGAGATCTTACGGTCATATCACGCTGAAACATCGGTTCTCGTTCGATCACCAAAGTTAAGCAACGTCGAGCTTACTCAGTACCTAGATGGGTAACCGCCTTGGAATAACAGTTGCTATAAGTTTGGATGTGCAAGTGGTGTAATGGATAATGGATCGGAACTGAAAATCGGAGTTCCAAGACCAGTCGAGTTCTTTATAATCTCTTATGCGCGAATAACCTTAGGAAGAGTATGAACCCTCTTGTTCTCTCCCAGCTATGAGTTAATTAGGAGGAATTGTATCAGTAAAATCATTATTATCTCTTAAAAAATCCTTACAATTTGAAAAATATTTTCTGGCTTTAAATAACCTGCCAAAGGTTGATAAGACGTAAAAAAAAACCTATCAATCAATCGAAGCTCGAGAGACCTGGATCTGTGCCAGGTCCGATGATTTCTATTCTCTGAATTGATTCAAGTGCCCCTCCTGTCCTGTGCGAAAGCCGACACACCAAAAGGGAGACATTTTTACGCACAAATATAAAATCAACTCTGGTTAATTACCGTCTTAGTCGTTTGAGTTTTCTTATAATTAAATCTTGTTTATTGGAGTGGCCTTTATCAAATCCTTCTGATCGTTCACCACACAAACTGTTTTCACAAGGCTGAATGTCCTCAGTGCATTGCTTTTTCATACAAAACTTCTCTTTCTTTCTTTCTACGAGTTAGCTCAGTCGAATTTAAATGCACTTTATTCGATCTTGAGGTTGGTTGTGATTTCAATGACGCATCAGTTATTTTAAGTAGATTTATATTTATATAAGCGCAAAGTAAATGCAGAGAGTGTCTCGCCGTTGAGTAATGGTTAGCCATTTGGCCTAGCAAACTTTTGCTACGAGTGCCTTCTTCAGATTGTGCTCTACAAACATAACCTTGTACCAGATTAAGCTAAACTTATTAAATACTTTTAAACTTAAGCGCGGGAAAGTGAATCCGGCGTGTCGATTTCAATTCCCACTCGATCCTGTTTTGATTACTTTACGTTAATGTTCTTGGAAAAGGCATGAATCTATCTTATATATATTCCTTATATAGTAAACATCTTCAGTTTCTGCTTTACAGACATAACCTTACATAAAGCTTATTAAATACTTTTAAACTTAAGCGTGGATAGTGTGACTGTTTTCGGCGAGTAAAGTGAATTCACCGTACCGATTTCAATTCCCTCTTGATCCTGTTTCGACCACTTTGCAATCTTGGAAAAGGCAGGAATTCATCTTCCTTCAGCCATGGGTTAAATAGCAAGGTAGATTGGAATCTGTTGCCTTTTGATTGCAACTAGGTCTAGGAAAAAGAGAACTGAATCGGAAACCGGTCTGAAAAAGGATGGGCTTCGTCAGGTTATCTTGCTATGGTCGCAGTATATGTAATGCCTTTATAGCCCTAATGGTTACCGAACTCGTGACGATCTCTTAATACTTTGCATAGTTTCTGAAAGGCATCTTTCTCTATTCCTATGCACCTTCAGTTTTCAGTGTCACATTTTCCGTCATCTGTTACTACGCTACCCAGATTTCTGCACCGGCTTGATATTGACGCCCTCAATACGTAGCTCACACAAAAGATTGCCTCTCTTGCTGACAACCATGCACCTACTGTAGAGCAGTGGTTAGCAAGTTAGTCACGTACACTATTATCACTAAGTTCAATCCTCCCTCCCCACCAGTACGCAAATACTCTTGGGAAAGTTGATGAATCTATCTCTCAGCTATGGATTAAATAGTAGAACTTATATGAAGAAAGATTATTCTTATTCTAAAAAAAAAATGCAATATTCGTTTGTGAAAATAAAAAAAGAATTATTTTTACTATCCAAATAAACAACAAAGAGTTGATAAGTCGTAAAAAATAAAATCAATCAACCAATCAATCAATCCATTGTTTCCCTGTGCTAGGCTATAGTTTATAACATCTCTCTGTAATTAATAACTGTAAGAATTAATTTGGATACCAGGCAATCAATTTGGTTTTGATCGGGGTCACGTTGGTTCGTTTGCTTTGTTTTTCCCGTGTTTCTGAACCAAACTAATTTGCATATATGTTTTTTGTTATGTACACAACTTGACCAGTGAATACTACTCTGATTTTGTTTAACGTGAATTCACTTGCATCAAGACTTTGTTAGCGAATTTACATTGTCCGAGATCTGCTGACATTTTAGAATTTGAGACGCCATTGTTTGTACCTGTTTTTTTTTTTTTTGTCTATTCTGCTCGGACGTGACTTTCTTCTTGAATTTTTTACATGGCAAAGTTTACGCCGCCATTATTTATCATATTTCTTTGCATTGTTTTTATTTTTCAATTTGTACTACTTTTGACCGCTATATGGTTGTGTAGCCATCTTGTTAGCATTTAAGCTAGCAAGTTTTCTACGAGACTTGTTAGAAGTACGCAAGTTTTAGACCATTGAAAAATTGCAATCACTTTTTACAGATACTTTTAGGAAACCAAGGTGGAAAGGTAGGCCTGCATTCTTTGATTTTTGACTCGTTAGTTTTGTAATTTTTCTACTATTCCTGAATATCAGCAACGCCATGTTATCGCAATTTCCCTTTAGGTTTGTGGACGCGAGGAGTTAATAAAAGTTGCTATATAATAAGATAATCGTGAATCTATTTATAAAAATGGTTTCAAATTATTTTAAAGTACGGTTGCTAAACATCCCTTATATAGCGTAAAATGTCTCGTATTTAGTTCATTTTTAAATTTTGTAATATTTTTACTATCTTCTTAAGGTCCTTGGTTGTATCTTTATAAGTAATTATACTTTTTCTCGGATTCTCTTGAAAATAACCAAATGTAACAAAGAAACTAGTGTTGTGAGAAATTTACACAAAACTGACGTATTTATTTCTCTGTTTATATTAAATAAATATTTTCAAATGATTTGACTTTTACAGAATTTCTTATTCTTAGACTGTATTAAATAATTTTCAAGTGATTTTACTTTTATTTTCCTCATAACCCATTAAAATCATTGCTTTATGTTTTTAACTTCTGTCTTTCCTTTTTATATATATATATATGTGTATGTGAGAGATTTTAAGAGGTGTCCCGTATTTCTAAATTTCTAATCTGGCAACCCTATTTTAGAGACAAGCTGATGTTTTCCTCTTAAAGAACTAACGCAACACAGACTTCCCGCTGTTATTGTTACAATTTAACCTTTAGTCTTAATAAAGAGATTACTAATAAAAATGGTTCAAGTTTGGTATGCAATTAACACCAGACGCTTCAGAGGATTGACGCAAAATCTCGATCTTACTTTAGAACTTAAAAAAAAAGATCTGGAATTCTTCGAATTGTTAATCATCGATTTTGCTCTTTGAAATCCCTAACGGTGTATTCAGATTAGTAATCTGTAATCATTTATTGAACGTACTCGTCTCTAAAGTACATTTTACATTGCAGCATTTCTCTTGTGCGGCCTTCCGTTACATACGCGGTCAGGCCCTAACTATCCACGCGCCTTTTTTCCCGTCAAGTATGTATTTTTATCTAAGCAGAAGGGAGGAGGGTAACTTAAACTTCAGATGAACAGGTCACTGGACAGCAAATAATTAGTCAAACGTAAATGCTTAAACTGAACTGCTCATGCTAAATCGCTATCAAACATTTTATACATACACGAATTATGTTCTTGCACTAATCTTTTTTGTCAGATATCCAGTTTGCCTTGAAAATCAACTTTCGAAATAATTTTCTTATCTTGGCTCGAACATCGACCGTTGTCACTAAAGATAGGCACTATATTTACTATCAGGCAGGCCACAACATATTTTTTGCTTTCTTTTATATATATATATATATATATATATATATATATATATCCTTACTCTGTCCTGGACATTGAGTTCTACCTGGATTCTATCCTCTTGGAATTTTTATTCAAAAATATACATGTATGTGTATGCACATATATATATATATATATATATATATATATATATATATATATATATATATATATATATATATATGTATGTCTATATTTACCACTAATATTCTCTCTCTCTCTCTCTCTCTCTCTATATATATATATATATATATATATATATATATATATATATATATATATATATATATAACAACGTTTTCCCCTGCGAAGGATCGTTAATTAATTTGAAACTTTTAAAACCATTTATTTTACATTCAACATCATTACTTGATAAGACACCGGAGGTGTTGAAACAAAATAGCTATTTTTGTAGTGATTTTATAAAATATTTATGTTATAATTTTTTTTAAAATAAATAATTATATCTGCTCTACTCTGTATTGAGCACTCTTTTAAGAATAGTAATTGTTGGTTATTGGAATTCATTCCGTATACACCAATTATATACTTGTGTGTGTGTGTATATATATATATATATATATATATATACCTGTATGTATGATGTGCAAGATTAGTTAATCATTGCTCCACAGCAACGTACCACTTATATTAAGTAATGCACAAGACTACACAACTATGTAGATCGAACTCACAACCCTAATAAGTACCGTACTACATCCACCTCTCTTTCTGTTTTCCTCTCGAACGCTCAACAGTATGGCTGCTCTAGCTCTGTACAAATTCGTGACGATAAGATTAAAAACTAAAATGATTTTAATTTCAGAAGATCACTTGTAGTTCAGGGTCGACTTTGTCCTAAACATATTGTTAGGCCACGAAATGCGATTTTACCACCTCAGTACAACGAACTGCCTTTTTATCTTTATTCTGTTTTACGCTCTATGCTCTTCTCTCTTTCTGTTCTCAATGGAGAGCGTATACGCGGCCTTGTGGGTGATGAATTATACCCCCACCATGCGACACCTATCCCACAGACTAAACGTCGCTAGCATCTCACTAGTATATCGCTATTACTGTGGCAGATATTCGGGCGAGTTACATTCCTTCGTGTCACCAGCTCAGACATTTACAATTACGAACCACCACGCCGTGTTCACAGAGTCTACCCCCCCGCCCTCTTCGTGTTCCTTTGATAAAAAAAATCAAATTCCACTCGGACTGCTTCTTCCGCAGAACTGTTACTTTGTGGAACCAACTCTCGAGAGAATTCTTCCTT